CAACACACAAACACGTTTCTTTTCAATTTTCTTTTGGAGATGGAATTCAAACCCTCACCTAAACTCTAATCACTTTCCTTAATGTATATATATATATATATATATATATATATATATAACAAAACTACGAAATTAATTGGGTCAATTATCATTGTGAGGGGCTTTATCATTGTATTTTCACTTTAGTTTGGTTAGTTAAAGATGTTTACGTGGCAGTAATATGCGAATCTGTTTAGTTATAAGATAAAAGGAATTTAGTGAATTTTTTTACAAAATAAAAAATTCTTAAAAACACTTGTAATTTTAAAAGACTCTATTACATGTTTATACAATGTATGTATTGCCATATCTACCTAGCTAGCTAGTTTAATATTTTGAGACTAGGCAGCTAGCCTGCCTTGTTTTTCAATTTGTTCTCATCCCAGATGTCTATCGATTTGACTTTAGTTCTATAAACTATTAATCTCACATATTTAAAATAAATTATTTAATTTAAACAAAGTCAGGGGTTCGAGTCCTGCCTTGTGTATGCAGCTGCGTTAAATATTGGGTCAACTATCTCACTCTTTGAGGTGCCTCCAATGTAGCGAGGAGATTAGTCACTGCTGTCGGCGGTGGATACTCCAGGGACGAACAAAAAAAAAATTATTTAATTAAAATAACTATAGTTATTTATATATGATTATATAATCATGATTATTTTTCTTCAAGAGATGTTAATTTCCTTTTTTTTTTTTTTAACTTGACAGCAATAATAATTTATGTATTTGATTATATAATCCTTGTTTTTTTTTCTCACATAAAATGTTTTGTCTTTCTGTATTTATATGTACAACTTAAATATTCTTTTAGTTCATGTAACATAGTTTTCATTTTTGACCTGCATAAAAAATCCTATTATGATCCTTTTAATATTTTTTTTTTGGCTCCTTGTTCCTGTTAAATGATCATGTGAATAAAAAACAAACCTAATGTTTCCTAAATAACAAAACTTGAAATAAAAATCTTCTGATATAAGAAAAACACGTAAAAAGTTAACAATTTTATAAGGAGGCTAAAAAAATTCGAAAATAAATATGATATTTCTTAAATATCAAGAAATTAGAAAAAATCTTTTAATATATAAGTGAGAACTATATATATAAAAAATTTACAATTTTATAAGAACCAAAGTATTAATATTTAAAACTAAAATGAATACCAATAATTATTAGTACAAATGGTTTAACATTTGTGTTTTTTAATCAAGGATCATATTTGATCTTCAATTTGAATATAAAGTTATAGTTAGAAATATTATTTTATTTCTATACAGGTTGACATGATGAAAATAAATTATACATCCTTATTAACCTAATAAGAAAACAAGAGTTAAAATGAATAAAAAAATTAAGAATAATAAAATAAAAATGACTAAAATCTTATTTAAATTTATATATATATATTTGTGTGTTTGTGTCGTAAATTAAT